AATCCATTTTAATCAATTTTTCAGACCGGAACAAGTTTCTCCCGACTGGGGAAACCACCTCAAAACTTAAGGAGGAAAGCTGTTTAAGTCCCTGTCCAAATTTCCTTTCGCTAAAAACCCTTTTGGCGCTTTAAATAAAGTCCAACTTTCACTTCCAACCCCTTTTTTTTCCCCGACTTGAAACAAGGGTTTTCTCCCCGATATGAACACTCACAATGTGTGTAAAATCCAGCCTTTTCCATCACTTTTGTAAAAACCCCCCACTTTTAAAAGAAACTGGTGAACAAACTTTTGTAAAAACTAATTTTTGTTTTAAAAACCACCTTTGTTTTAAAACCACAGAGTAAACCCCCCACCAAAAACACCCAGCACTTTAACAATCCAGCAGTTTAACTCCCAGCACATTAACACCCGGCATAGGGGAATCCAAAACGTTGTAACACTTCAGCAGGGGTGGAAAAACCCACACGTTTTTTCAAACACTTTTCTTTAAACCCCAGGTTTTAACATTCAGCACGTTTTAAAACCCCCCACCATTAAAACCCAGATTGCATAACAACCCCGCAGTTAAAAAAACCCCGCACAAAAAAATTTGGAAAAAAGGTACTTTGGGGGTTCCCATTATTTTGGGGGTGTTTCACTCAGGGTAGTGACTTCTCATTACGTTTTTTTTACCATTGCGTTAAAGTTTGAGTTTTTTGCTCCTGTTTAACCTCCCCTTGGAAAAACTTTTCCCGTAGCTGAGAGAAGAGCTCAGAGTTGCTAAGCTGGAGATACGGCGATTAACGGAGGAGAACAAGAGGATTCGTAGTAATCCTCCTGTTGTGAGTCCCCAGGTTAAGAGGGGAGCTTGGTCAGTGGCCTGGCAACATGGAACCAAGCTGAGGATCAAGAAAACGGTTGGAGAGGCAGAAACAACGAGAAACCAGAAGACTAGCGCAGAAACTTCCATCCCATTCTCCGTGCTACCTGACGAATGTGAGTGTTCTACTGGGAATGCCACAACGAGCACCAAGGAAGCATTGGCAGACGTGAGTGAGACATCCCTAGAAATCCCAACGAAGACCATCGAGAACGTCTTGACGAATTCCACAAGTGGTGTAATGCAACCTGACGAATGTGAGTCGACTACTGGGAGCATCACTACGGACGACGCCAAGGAAGGTAAAAACATTGTTGTTGTTGGGGATAGCCAGATTAGGTACATGGATAGGGCATTCTGCTTGAAGGATAGGAGTAGGAGGCAGAGAGTGTGTTTTCCTGGGGCTGGGATGAAGGATATTGTTAGCCGTCTGGATGACATCATGAGAGGTAATGGGAGCAATCTTATTATCTCTCTCAGTGCTGGAGGCAACGATGTTGGCAGACGTAGGAGTGAGGACCTGATTAGCAGGTATAGGTCAGCAATAAGATAATTAGGAGGAAGGGTGGGAAACCTGTCATATGTGGCATTTTTGCCAAGGAGAGGAGTTGGAAATGAATGGTTGTCCAGAGCAATTGGTGTCAATTGCTGGCTGGACAAATACTGTAAGGAAAATGCAGTAACATTCATTGACAACTGGGACCTCTTCTATGACAGAAATGACATGTATGCCAGGGATGGGGTTCACTTATCTAGGTGTGGGGTGGGAGCACTGGGCAACGCAGTGGAGGGAGCTGTTAGGTCTTTAAACTAGGAATAGTTAGTGGTATGGGTTTTGGCGGGAAAACTGTGAAGTCGCAGGGTAGTAATACGAGTACTAGGAGAACTAGTAATAGGCAAAATGAGGTGGATATTGGAAAGCCAGTGGCACTAATTGACAAGGACAGTAATAGGTTTAGTGGAATAACAGAAAGGAGCAGGAAGGTAAAGAGAGAGGAGGGTCTTTAAATATTTATTACACAAATAGTCGCAGTGCTAGGAATAAGATGGACGAGTTGAGACTAGTTGCTAGTGCAGGTAACATTGATGTATTTGCCATTACTGAGACGTGGTTTAATTCAAAAAGTCGGGACATGCCTGCAGAATGTCACATTCAGGGTTTTAAATTGTTCCAAGTAGATAGAAGTGTCGGGAAGGGGGGTGGGGTGGCATTGTATGTCCGAGATCGCTTGAACTGTTGCATAAAAACGGGTATTAAGTCTGAAGTAACACATACAGAATGAAAGTTAAGACACATGTGCAACATCTGGATATCTTTATTGTAGTAGACGTTTCGCCATCCAGTGGCTTTATCAATACAGATTCTAGAACATAATAGGAAGACAGTAGAACTATATACAAAAGATGAGGTAATCAGTCCCTCGGCCTTGGAGTTAATGTTCACAGCTTCCTCCACCATGAAGCTGTGAACACTAACTCCAAGGCCGAGGGACTGATGACCTCATCTTTTGTATATAGTTCTACTGTCTTCCTATTATGTTCTAGAATCTGTATTGATAAAGCCACTGGATGGCGAAACGTCTACTACAATAAAGATATCCAAATGTTGCACATGTGTCTTAACTTTCATATTGTCGGTATTTTATGCCTTTCTTGCACAACACATACAGAGTCTGGATAGAATTTTCAGAGGGGCATGAAAAATTAATTTTAGGTGTGATATACCGTCCCCCAAATTTAGATAGGGACCAGGGGAGACTACTATGGGAGGAAATTGTTAGGGCCACAAGGCACGATAATGTAGTAATTCTAGGAGATTTTAACTTTAGTCATATTGATTGGAATTTCTTGACGGGGAATTTAAAATCATACGACTTATTAGAAGTAGTTCAGGATTGTTTTTTGAAGCAGTTTGTGACAGAACCTACAAGGGGTAATAACCTGCTTGACTTAGTTCTGGCAAACAATGAATAATTTAGAAGTTTCAGAGGAACTGGGTGCTAGTGACCACAAATCAATTACATTTAGCATTGAATGGAAGTATGATAGTAGGGATAACTCAGTAACAGTCCCAGATTTTCGCTTAGCAGATTACGATGGGCTTAGAGAACACTTATCTGTTGACTGGGGTAACGAAGAGAGCTATCAATATGACAGTTTTCTGAACACTATACATGCTGCTCAAAGAACGTTTATCCCTTATAAAGAAATTAGATCAAATAGAAATGACCCAAAATGGATGAATAATAGGCTGAAATATCTACTAGGGCATAAGAAAGGAATTTATAGGCGTATCAAAAGAGGCGAGGGTCATCTTATGAATCAGTATATTGACATTAAGAGGGACATTAAAAAGGGGATAAGAAAAGCTAAAAGGGACTATGAAATTAAAGTTGCTAGGGATTCTAAAACTAACCCAAAAAGTTTTTTCCAGGTATATAGAACAAAAGTTAGAGATAAGATAGGTCCCCTTAAAAATAACTATGGTCATCTGATCAAAGAGAATGAAATGTGCTCGATTTTAAATAATTATTTTCTCTCGGTTTTTACACAGGAAGACACTAACAATATTCCGGTAATTAATTTTTATAGTGGGCCAGAAGAAGATAAATTATGTAACATCACAGTCACTAGTGAAATGTAGATGAATGGTTCAGAGAACCGACATGTTGATAAATTAGACACATGTGCAACTCTTGGGTATCTTTATTGAGGAAACGTTTCGCCACACAGTGGCTTCATCAGTCCATACATAGGAGAAACTTGAAGAACAGGAGGAGAATGAGGTAATCAGTCCCTCAACCTTGAGTCGATGTGTTCAGTCCATCAATCTTTGAGTAGAATACGGCAGATGAGCGGAGTGAAATGGTTGTGAAGCAGATAGACCGAGTGAAGCAAAATAAGTCACCGGGTCCTGATGAGGTTTTTTCAAGGGTTCTAAAGGAATGCAAAATGGAAGTCTGTGAACCATTAACTAATATTTTTAATTTATCTCTTCAAACAGGTGTAGTGTCTGATATGTGGAAGATGGCTAATGTAATTCCTATTTTTAAAACAGTGGACAAGTCGTTACCGTCAAATTACCGCCCAATAAGCCTGACCTCAATTGTAGGCAAATTACTAGTCAATTATAGCTGAGATTATAAGAAGCCATCTCGATAAGCATAGCTTGATTAATGATACTCAGCATGGATTCACAAGAGGCCGGTCTTGTCTAACTAATTTATTAACTTTCTTCAGTAAAGCTTTTGAGGCTGTTGACCACGATAAAGAATTTGATATTATTTACTTAGATTTTAGTAAGGCATTTGATAGAGTTCCGCACCAAAGACTGTTGAAGAAAGTAGCAGCTCATGGCATTGGGGGAAGGGTGCTCTCGTGGATCGAATCATGGGTCACAGACAGGAAGCAGAGAGTGTCCATAAATCCGAGTGGGGATCAGTAACAAGTGGCGTTCCACAGGGATCAGTCTTGGGCCCGTTGTTGTTTATAATATATATCAATGATCTTGATGAAGGAATTACTAGTGATATGAGCAAATTCGCCGATGACACGAAGATAGGTAGGATAATTGATTCAAACGTAGATGTTAGGGAACTTCAGGAGGATTTAGACAAACTATTCTTGGTCAGAAAAGTGGCAGATGCAGTTCAATGTAGATAAATGCAAGGTTCTGAAGCTCGGGATTGTCCATAACCCTAGCACTTATAAGTTAAATAATGTAGAACTTAGCCATACAGATTGCGAAAAGGACTTGGGGGTTATGGTAAGCAGCAACCTTAAACCAAGACAGCAATGCCTAAGCGTACGTAATAAGGCAAATAGATTACTGGGATTTATATCAAGAAGTGTAAGCAACAGAAGTCCAGAGGTCATACTGCAGCTTTATACATCATTAGTAAGGCCTCACCTAGATTATGCAGCTCAATTCTGGTCTCCATATTACAGAATGGACATAAATTCGTTAGAAAACATTCAGCGTAGGATGACTAAATTAATACATAGCATTAGAAATCTTCCTTATGAAGAAAGATTGAAGACTCTTAAGTTACATTCACTTGTTAGACGAAGAATGAGGGGAGACCTGATCGAAGTGTACAAGTGGAAGATAGGTATTAATAAAGGGGATACTAACAAGGTCTTGAGGATATCTCTCCAAGAGAGAACCCACAGTAATGGATTTAAATTAGATAAGTTTAGATTTAGAAAGGACATAGGAAAGTATTCGTTTGGAAATAGGGTAGTTGATGAGTGGAACAGTCTACCTAGTTGGGTTATTGAGGCTAGGATTTTTAGTAGTTTCAAATTTAGGTTGGATAAGTACATGAGTGGGAGGGGTTGGATTTGAATGGGACTTGCACATTGGAGCTTGTTTCTTGGGTGGCATTGAAAATTGGGTTGGTCAAATGTTTGTTAGTGGGATGAATTGTAAAGGACCTGCCTAGTATGGGCCAACAGGCCTGCTGCAGTGTTCCTCCTTTCTTATGTTCTTATGTTCATGGATCGGGCAGTGGGGGCATTGACCCCCGGAACATCCTCCAGGTAACGGGTAGACGTGCGTAACCAAGCACTCACTTAAATATCACGCATAATGCTTCAGCACTTGCGTAAAATCCCAGCACGTTCCTAACACCCCAGCACCTAAACACCTCAGCATGTTCGTGACACCCCAGCATGTTCGTGACACCCCAGCATGTTCGTGACACCCCAGCATGTTCGTGACACCCCAGCATGTTCGTGACACCCCAGCATGTTCGTGACACCCCAGCATGTTCGTGACACCCCAGCATGTTCGTGACACCTCAGCATATTCGTGACACCCCAGCATGTTCGTGACACCCCAGCATGTTCGTACGTAACACTCCGGCACGTACATAATACCTCGGGTTGCGGGAACATTGACCCCCGGAAACGACCTTCAGGCATCCTTCAAGTACCACTTATCTCATAACAGTAATAATAACAATGGCTGTTCAGGTATCACTTCCCTCTTAATAATAATAATTATTTGTTGTTTTTATTTCTACAAGTAATGATAGAACAATTAGACTTAGCTGAAATTGACATACTTATCAAAACCCGTGTTACGCGGAGCATCTCCAACAACTTAGGTTAATCTCGTCCCCACCACCGTATCTTCTGATCAAGGTTACCTGTTAAATTATGTTGAGAAGAAACAAGGAGTAGCTTAAAGATCCCGAGGTCTTAAGTGTTTATCTACTGGCCTAATCAGGTGTTTAGTGACATCAGTTTTATATGCCTCTATAATCTCCCTTGTTATGCCCTGTCTGGGGGTATGCCTATCGGATGTTCTGGGGGTCAGCGCCCCCTCCCCCTTCAGCCCGGTCCATGACCTTTAACAATGTTCTTGTTTTTTTTACTGCTAACACATCGACTTAACCACATCAAGAACTCCTTCAAGGCTGATGGACTGATCACATTATGTCTCCCTGTCCACTACTGCTGCTCTTATGTGTATTCTCTGTATTTTAGTTTAAACATTGTTATTGTTTTTTTTTTCACTGCTTACACCTTGAAGATAATGATATAAAAATACCGAAACGATGACTTGATAAAGTCCACTGTGTGGGCGAAACGTAGTCAATAAAGGATCGAATTATACTCTATTTGTGTTCACTTTTCCACTGCTAACACCTTGACTTAACCCTCACTCTACATCCGCAGTTAGGCCATTGCCATAGCCAAGGTCTCGGTGTAGAGAGTGTTTGTATATGTGGTTTTGTGTCTGCCACTACCTGCTTGCCTGTCCTTGTTGCATGCCTGTTCTTGTTGCAGCGCCCAACCTGTCATGAAGTGCTGAGTGCGGGAGTGAACAACCTGCCACACAGTGACATGCTGCTGGGTTACCTCCGGCTTTTTCTTCTCTCTACCATTTCCTCTCCTCCCGCTGCTCTTCCATCTCCGCCCACCCCTCGCCCCTTGCGGGTTCTAATCAGGGCGTGTGAATCGAGTCGAGTCCATTATCTTTCCTAACCTGCCACAGCTGTGAGTCCTTCAACACTGGTACTAGTGCATGGGCCTCCAAGAAAAATTTTGCAAGACGGGACAAGACTGCTTTGGGGCCCCTGGGGGCAGGCTGAGGCCCCAGTGTAAGTAAATTTTACATAATTATTTTTTAAAATAAACTATAGTTGAAAACATCTATGGCTATGGGGCCCCTTCAGAGATTCACAGCCGGGCCCCGGACCAACGTACCGGCTGAACCAACCCCTCTCATAGGCCTTGACTAGTGAATTGTTTTGCAACATGTTGAGTGCCCTCCAGTGCTCGACCAGTCATGGGTCTTCAGTAAACTGTTTCATATTGTTCCACTGTTGGGTTAAGCTCTTGAGGTCTCCTGTCCCTCCACTATCTTTCTCTTATTTGTGACAGGGAGGAATAGTTAGTCTTGTTTCGACTGTGTTAGTCATATGAAGAGAGTAGCAGTACACTGCTGATGTGATGTAAATGGTTTAACACGACAAGTTGAAGAATGAGACACTTGTACAACGTTTAGGAATCTTTACTAAGGAAACGTTTCGCCAGCCAGTAGTTTCTTCAGTCCATTGCAGAGATAGAGAACAAGGCACAATACCGTGACTGGAATAATACACAAATAATCCGCACATTGAGAAGCTCACGACGGCGTTTCGGTAATGGTTCGTAAATGGAACAAGTCGGACCGAAACGTCGTCATAAGCTCACTCATGTTATTTGTGCATTGCAGAGAAGAACGTTGAAAGAGGAGTAGTAGTTTAAGATAATCAGTCCATCAGCCTAGAGTCGATTTGTTTAGTTTATCAATCTTCAGAAAAAATACTTTTCCTCAGTAGTGTACTGGAGGTTCCAGGTGTACTTCCTCAGTAGTGTACTGGAGGTTCCAGGTGTACTTCCTCAGTAGTGTACTGGAGGTTCCAGGTGTACTTCCTCAATAGTGTACTGGAGGTTCCAGGTGTACTTCCTCAGTAGTGTACTGGAGGTTCCAGGTGTACTTCCTCAGTAGTGTACTGGAGGTTCCAGGTGTACTTCCTCAGTAGTGCACTGGAGGTGCCAGGTTCCAGGTGTACTTCCTCAGTAGTGCACTGGAGGTGCCAGGTTCCAGGTGTACTTCCTCAGTAGTATACTGGAGGTGCCAGGTTCCAGGTGGGCTTCCTCAGTAGTGTACTGGAGGTGCCAGGTTCCAGGTGGGCTTCCTCAGTAGTGTACTGGAGGTGCCAGGTTCCAGGTGGGCTTCCTCAGTAGTGTACTGGAGGTGCCAGGTTCCAGGTGTACTTCCTCAGTAGTGTACTGGAGGTTCCAGGTGTACTTCCTCAGTATGTACTGAGGTTCCAGGTGTACTTCCTCAGTAGTGTACTGGAGGTTCCAGGTGTACTTCCTCAGTAGTGTACTGGAGGTTCCAGGTGTACTTCCTCAGTAGTGTACTGGAGGTTCCAGGTGTACTTCCTCAGTAGAGTACTGAGGTTCTCAGGTGTACTTCCTCAGTAGTGTACTGGAGGTTCCAGTGTACTTCCTCAGTAGTGTACTGGAGGTTCCAGGTGTACTTCCTCAGTAGTGTACTGGAGGTTCCAGGTACTTCCTCAGTAATGTACTGGAGGTTCCAGGTGTACTTCCTCAGTAGTGTAGTGGAGGTTCCAGGTGTACTTCCTCAGTAGTGTACTGGAGGTTCCAGGTGTACTTCCTCAGTAGTGTACTGGAGGTTCCAGGTGTACTTCCTCAGTAGTGTACTGGAGGTTCCAGGTGTAGTTCCTCAGTAGTGTACTGGAGGTTCCAGGTGTAGTTCCTCAGTGGTGTACTGGAGGTTCCAGGTGTAGTTCCTCAGTAGTGTACTGGAGGTTCCAGGTGTACTTCCTCAGTAGTGTACTGGAGGTTCCAGGTGTACTTCCTCAGTAGTGTACTGCAGGTGCCAGGTGTACTTCCTCAGTAGTGTACTTGAGGTGCCAGGTGTACTTCCTCAGTAGTGTACTGGAGGTGCCAGGTTCCAGGTGTACTTCCTCAGTAGTGCACTGGAGGTGCCAGGTTCCAGGTGTACTTCCTCAGTAGTATACTGGAGGTGCCAGGTTCCAGGTGGGCTTCCTCAGTAGTGTACTGGAGGTGCCAGGTTCCAGGTGGGCTTCCTCAGTAGTGTACTGGAGGTGCCAGGTTCCAGGTGGGCTTCCTCAGTAGTGTACTGGAGGTGCCAGGTTCCAGGTGTACTTGCTCAGTAGTGTACTGGCGGTGCCAGGTTCCAAGTGTACTTCCTCAGTAGTGTACTGGAGGTGCCAGGTTCCAGGTGTACTTACTCAGTAGTGTACTGGAGGTGATAGGTTCCAGGTGTACTTCCTCAGTACTGCACTGGAGGTGCCAGGTTCCAGGTGTACTTCGTCGGTAGTGTACTGGAGGTGCCAGGTTCCAGGTATACTTCCTCAATAGTGTACTGGAGGAGCCTGGTTGCAGATGTACTTCCTTAGTAGTGTACTGGAGGAGCCTGGTTGCAGGTGTACTTCCTTAGTAGGGTACTGGAGGTGCCAGGTTCAAGGTGTACTTCCTTAGTAGGGTACTGGAGGTGCCAGGTTCAAGGTGTACTTCCTTAGTAGGGTACTGGAGGTGCCAAGTTCAAGGTGTACTTCCTTAGTAGGGTACTGAGGTGCCAGGTTCAAGGTGTACTTCCTTAGTAGGCTACTGGAGGTGCCAGGTTCAAGGTGTACTTCCTTAGTAGGCTACTGGAAGTGCCAGGTTCAAGGTGTACTTCCTTAGTAGGGTACTGGAGGTGCCAGGTTCAAGGTGTACTTCCTTAGTAGGGTACTGGAGGTGCCAGGTTCAAGGTGTACTTCCTTAGTAGGCTACTGGAAGTGCCAGGTTCAAGGTGTACTTCATTAGTAGGGTACTGGAGGTGCCAGGTTCAAGGTGTACTTCCTTAGTAGGGTACTGGAGGTGCCAGGTTCAAGGTGTACTTCCTTAGTAGGTACTGGAGGTGCCAGGTTCAAGGTTACTTCCTTAGTAGGCTACTGGAGGTGCCAGGTTCAAGGTGTACTTCCTTAGTAGGGTACTGGAGGTGCCAGGTTCAAGGTGTACTTCCTTAGTAGGGTACTGGAGGTGCCAGGTTCAAGGTGTACTTCCTTAGTAGGCTACTGGAGGTGCCAGGTTCAAGGTGTACTTCCTTAGTAGGGTACTGGAGGTGCCAGGTTCAAGGTGTACTTCCTTAGTAGGGTACTGGAGGTGCCAGGTTCAAGGTGTACTTCCTTAGTAGGCTACTGGAAGTGCCAGGTTCAAGGTGTACTTCCTTAGTAGGCTACTGGAA